TGATGAAGATCAAAAGACCACATTTACATCTCAACTTAAAGGAAACAAAGCACCTCACAACTGGACTTGAAAGCGGCAGCTGGATCACTGAATAGAGAGAATACTGAAGTCAAGGACTTTATTTTACTTGGATCCACAATTAGTGCCCATAGAAGGAGCAGTCAGGAAATTGAAGGAGTTATTGCATTGGCAAATGTGCAAAAAACCTCTTTCAAGTATTAAAATGCAAAGATGGTATCCTGAGGACCAAGATGCACTTGATCCAAGGTATGGTATTCATAACCGGTTCATATGCAAGCAATAGCTGGACAATGCATGAGGAAAACTGAAGAATTGATGCCTTTGGATTCCGGTGTTGGTGAAGAAAACTGACTAGACCATGGACTGCCAGAAGAACAAACAAATCTGTCTTGGAAGAACTATACGCAGATGTCCAGACTTCATCTCATGTATTTTGGATGTGTCATCAGAAGGCTCCAGTCCTTGGAGAAGGACATCATGTTGAGGGTCAGCGAGAAAGAGGAAGACCCTCAGGAACATGGATTGCCTGTCACAGTGACTACAGTAGGGGCTTCAAACATGGATGGCACAGGGCCAGGCCATGGCTCATTCTGTTGTGCTAAGAGTTGCTCTGAGTCAGAACAGACTTGATAGCATATAAGAACAAAGTATAAGGAGCTCTGGTAGTGTAGCGGTTATGAATTGGGCTGCAAACCGCAAGGTCAGCAGTTCGAAACTACCAGCTGTTCCACAGGAGAAAGATGGGGCTTTCTGCTCCCTTAAAGATTTACAGCTTCGGAAACCCTGTACCCAGTCACTATGAGTCGGAACTGACTCCACGGCACATAAAAACAACAGACAACAGAGTATGGTAAAAGAATACAGCCTTGTCACACACCTTTCTTAATTTTAAACCATTCAGTGTTCCCATGTTCTGTTCGAACAACTGCCTCTTATTCTATGTACAGATTCCTCATGAGCACAATTAAGTGTACCAGTATACTCATACTTTGCATTGTTGTCCTTAGCTTGTCATGATCCACACAATCAAAAGCCTTTGCATACTCAATAAAGCATAGGTAAACATCTTTCTGATATTCTCTGCTTTCAGCCAAGATCCATCGGACATCAGCAATGATATCTCTCATTCCACGGCCTCTTCTGAATCTGGCTTGAACCACTGGAAGTTCTCTGTCAATGTATGCTTGCAGCCGTTTCTGTATTACCTTTACCAAAAATTTACTCCTGTGGGATATCAAAGAGATTATCCATTGATTTCCGCATTCCATTGGGTCACCTCTCTTTGGAATGGGCACAAATACGGATCTCTTCCAATCAGTCAGCCAGATAGTTGTCTTCCAAATTTCTTGGCATAGATGAATGAGTGCCTCCTGTGCCGCCTCACTTTCTTGAAAGATTTCAATTTGTATTCCATCAGTTCCTGGTGCCTTGTTCTTTGCCAATTCCTTCAATGCACCTTGAACTTCCTCCTTCAGTATCATTGGCTCTAGATCATATGCTACCTCTTGAAATGGTTGAACATTAACCATTTCCTTTTGGTACAGTGACTCTGTATTCCTTCCATCTCCTCTTGATGCTTTCTGCATCATTCAGTAATTTGCCCAGTGAATCTTTCAGTAACGAAAGTCAAGGCTTGAATTTTTTTTTCAGTTCTCTCAGCTTGAGAAATGCTGAGTATGTTCTTCCTTTTTGGTTTTCTGATTCCATTTTGATGTAATATTTGGCTTTATCTTATTGAGCTGATCTTTGAAATTTTCTGTTCCGCTCTTGTACTTCCTCATTTCTTCCATTTGCTTTAGCATCTCTATGCTGGAGAGCAAGTTTCAGTGTCTCTTCTGACATCCATTTTGACCTCTTCCTTCTTTCTTGTCTTCTTAATGACTTTTTGCTTTTTTCCTGTATGATGTTCTTGATGTCACCCCACAACTCTTCTGGTCTTTGTTCTTTAGTGTTTAATGTATCAAATCTGTACTTCAGATGATCTCTAAATTCAAGTGGGATATATTCAGGGTCATATTTTGGCTCTTGTGGACTTATTTTCATGTTCTTTAGCTTCAGTTTGAATTTGCATATGAGTAATTGATGGTCTGTTCCACAGTCTTCCCCAGCCTTGTTTTCACTGATGATATGGAGATTTTCCATTGTCTCTTTCCACAGATGTAATCACTTTGATTTCTGTGTATTCCATCTGGCGAGGTCCATATGTATAGTTGTCTCTTATGCTGTCTAAAAAAGTATTTGAAATGAACAAATCACTGATTTTGAAGAATTCTATCATGTGTTCTCCAGCATCATTTCTGTCACCAAGGCCATATTTTCCAACTACTGATCCTTCCTCTTTGCTCCCAACCTTTGCATTCCAATCACCAAAAATGAGCAATACATCTTGATTGCATGTTTGATCAATTTCAGATTGAAGAAGTTGGTAGAATTCTATTTCACCCTCACTGGCTTTAGTGGTTGGTGCGTAAATTTGAATATTAATTCAACCTGTATGCTGAGCAGATAATCCGAGAAGCTGGGTTATATGAAGAAAAACGTGGCATCAGGATTGGAGGAAGACTCATTAAAAGCCTGCAATATGCATATGATACAACCTTGCTTGCTGAAAGTGAAGACAACTTAAAATATTTACTAATGAAGATCAAAGAGCACAGCCTTCGATAAGGATTACATCTCAATGTAAAGAAAACAAAAATCCTCACCACTGGACCAATAAACAACATTCTTACCAACGGAGAAAACATTGAAGTTGTCAAGGACTTCATTCTTCGTGGATCAACTATCAACACTCATGGAAGCATCAGTTAAGAAATCAAACGACGTACTACATTAGGCATATCTGCTGCACAAGACCTTTTTAAAGTGTTGAAGAGCAAAGATGTCAGCTTGAGGACTCGGTGCGCCTGACCCAAGCCATGGTATTTTCAATAACCTCATACACATGCGAAAGCTGGACAGTGAATAAGGAAGACCGTAGAAGATGAGTTTTGGTTTGGAGGAGAATATTGAAAGTTCCATGGGCTGCCAAAAGAACCAACAGATCTGTGTTGGAAGAAGTACAGCCAGAGTGCTCCTTGGAGGTCAAGATGGCCAAACTTTGTCTCTCATACTTAGGACATATTGTCAGGAGGGACCAGTCACTGGAGAAGGATATCATGTTTGGTAAGGTGGAGGGTCAGAGAAAAAGAGGAAGACCCCCAATGAGGTGGATTAGCCAAGTGGCAGCTTCAGTGGGCTCAAGTGTGGCAACAGTAGTGAGGTTGGCTCAGGATTGGGCAGTGTTTCATTCGGCTGTGCATAAACTATCAGTCGGTACCAACTCGATGGCACCTAACAACGAGAAGAACAGTTTATCTACAGTGAAACCTGTAAAAGCCAGAACTCCAGAGGACTCCTTTATTTTTCCAGGTCTTGTAGGTGTTCTGCCTTTGACGGGTGCTGTGGTTCCACTTCTCTGTCACTCCTTTTAGTGGAAAATATTTGCATTTCCTTTCTCTGATAGGTTTCTGCCTGACACAGGTTTTGCTTTTGCCGGTTTCATTTTATTATTTTTTTTCTTTTGTTGTTTGCTCTTTTGGTGTCGTATCTAAGAATCCACTGCCAATTCAAGGTCGGTCGGTCTGTTTTCTTCTAAGAATTTTATAGTTTTCATGCTTCCCTTTCGGCTGCTGGTGAATTTTGAGTTCCCTTTTAACGTATAGTGTGAGGTAAGAGTCCAGTCGTCCCAGCACAAGCTCAGGCAGACCCCTGTGAAGCCAGCCCTTGCAGCCTCATGCTGCAGTGAACAGAATTATTGGATCTTCCTCAGGGCGCAGAGTTCTTATCCAGTTGAGTCAAACTCATTGTTACTCCGTGTGTGTCAGAGTAGCACTGTGCTGCATAGGGTTTTGTTTTTTAACATTAAAAAATATCTTTATCCTCACTAGTAAGCACCAGCTTAATAATGCAAAAAAAAAAAAAAAGTCATTCAAGTAAAGACATGTTCTCTTTTCTCTTCTGTATAAAACTTTATGAAATCAAGACAAAGAACAGTGTACATCTTGCTGAAAATGCTGCCCACGACTGTGGGGACAGTGTGCCCTGGGTTCCCTTTACTGTCCAGCTCCTGAAAGACTCTTGTTCATGAACTGGCTCTTCACAAACCAAGTCCACCACTTGCTAGATTTGTCATTCTGAGGGTCAAAAACTTTCTCACAAAGGCTTAGTCCAGTCTCTTGTCTTAGCTGCTCTAAGTAGGCTCTCATCACTTCGTCTTCCTGTTTGTTTGCAGCTTGGCATTAATGGCATTAAGTGGAAACCCAGGCTCTCCAGGAACGGGGAAGTTAGTGATGCCCAGCATGTCCATTTCTTTCTCACCTTGGCTTTTGGAATTGCACTTCTGGAGTTTCTTTAGGCATTCAGAAATGTAGAGAGTGATGCAGATCAAGGTCCTAGCCGCTTCATTCTTCATTTCATAGTTTTTGAAGAAGACATTGGCCTTGAAGTAATACATGGCCTCATCCACAGTATCTGTATCCTTTGTCTCTCGAGGGGCAGGTCCTTTGAACTGACTTCTGATAGGTAGCAGTGCCATGTTTCCGATGAGTTTGGTGCCAGGGTCCATGAGAGAAGAGTGGTAGGCCAGCATCTTGGCAGCGCCCGGACTGGGAGTTGACTGGGAAGTACCTACTTGCATGCAGTGCTTCCGGTCTGACCGGCATAGAGTTTTTAATGACTGAATTTTTTAGTAGGTTGCCAGGCCTTTTTCCTGAGGCACCGCATGTGTGGACTGAAACCTCCAACTTTTTGGTTAGTTGCTGAGTGAGTTAACTCTTCGCACCAGCCAGGGGCTCTGGATGCTCAATACCATATAAGGAAACATCAGAAAAACATTTTTATGTCCCCTTGTACATGGTTACTCAGCTCAGAGACAGCCTTGGCCTGCAGGGGGTGCTGCCCCTTGCCCTGTGTCCATCTTCAGCCCTTTGTCCCCACAGGACGTGAGCCTGCACTTTGTGCTCTGGGGCTGCCTGCATGTCTACCAGCGCATGATTGACAAGGCGGAGGACGTGTGCCTGTTCGTGGCACAGCCAGGAGAGCTGGTGGGGCAGCTGGCTGTTCTGACGGGCGAGCCCCTGATCTTCACGCTGCGTGCCCAGCGCGACTGCACCTTCCTGCGCATCTCCAAGTCCGACTTTTATGAGTACGACTAGGCCTGGGGAAGGGCGGGGAGGGAAGGCCTCCTGCCCCACCCACCACTTGGCCGGTCCAGTATGCTGCAGACCCATGCGCCCCTTCCTTTCTCCGCAGGATCATGCGTGCGCAGCCCAGTGTGGTACTGAGTGCCGCTCACACAGTGGCCGCGAGGATGTCATCCTTTGTGCGGCAGATGGACTTCGCCATCGACTGGACGGCGGTGGAAGCGGGGCGCGCACTGTACAGGTGCGTCCCACTACACCTTCCCCTCAGCTTGCGCTGGCCTCGGCCCCATCCTGTCTGACCAGCCCCCGCCCCCACCCCAGACAGGGCGACCGCTCCGACTGCACCTACATTGTACTCAATGGGCGGCTGCGTAGCGTCATCCAGCGCGGCAGTGGCAAGAAGGAGCTGGTGGGCGAATATGGTCGCGGGGACCTCATCGGCGTGGTGAGCGAGGCCGGCCCACCGACCTCACCCTGCCCACTTACCCCTTTTTTCCACTTAGAGAGGGGCCACCCTCTGGGGCCATGAACTTGGTCTAGGACTCCACCCCCAGACCTTCCCAGTTTTCAGCTTAGGGTCCCTGCACTCTTCCCATTCCCCAGAGCCCCAGTGGGCCATGAGGCCTGATTCCCTATACCCACACCCCTGGGAGTTGGGGATCATACCTCCCCTCCCCACTTTAGACTTCCCACCCCAAGCAGCCCCAGTCATGCCACCTGCTCCACAGGTGGAGGCACTGACTCGGCAGCCACGCGCAACCACGGTGCACGCAGTGCGTGACACAGAATTGGCCAAGCTTCCAGAGGGCACCTTGGGTCACATCAAGCGGCGGTATCCACAGGTGTAGTTTCAAGTGGGCAGTGCTTATGGGATGGGCATCTGGAAATGACTGGGGGCGGAATGTAGCGTTCTTGTTCTTGGGAATTTGGAGTGGGTGGAGCCCTAGGGAGAGGCGTGGCCTATGAGCCGGATGGGACCCGAGTACTCAGAAGAAAAGATGGAATTTCTTCCGATTCCCGCAGGTCGTGACCCGTCTCATCCATTTGCTGAGCCAGAAAATTTTAGGGAATTTGCAGCAGTTGCAAGGGCCCTTCCCAGGTGAGCATGGGCCGCCATCCCCGGGTATGCCGAGGATGTAGTCCGACACCTTGATCCTGTTGGGAAGGGGAGTCTAAAACCCACGGCGTACTGGAAATCTGAGTCCGATGTGTAGGTCACATGGTGGAAATCCGAGTTCCCTAGCATGCTGGGGGATGGAGTTCGGGCTCATGGGCATGGTAAACATTGGCCTAGACTCAGACTTGTTAATGGAGTCCCACTCTGACTGCACAGTGCTGAAGCAGCTAGGCTGCTAACTGCAAAGTTTGGTGGTTCAACCCACCTAGCAGCTCCATGGGAGGAAGACCTGGCAAAGAAGACAGCTTAGGAAACCTGGTGGGCCAGTTCTACTCTGCCCTGTGGGAACACTATGAGTTGAAATCCACATGGAACAGCCTCTGGATCCGTGGTTCTGGGGGCGGGCCGTAGGCAGGAGGGTTGGTTTTAGTTGTCAAGCTGCTAGGGGGGATGGAGTGCACATCCTGAACACGCTGAGACATCCTAGACCGGAGTCCATGGGGCTTGCTGGCAGGTGTGGTTCCCTCTGCCGGCGCTTGCTGGGAAGTGTGGGAACCGTGGCCCAGGGTAAACTAGGAAGTGGGGTGGGGTTTGAGAAGTGTTAAATGTGGCCTGTGGCCCTCCAACCTGGGCAGAACCAAAGACTAATTTCTGGTGTGCTCTAGTTTGTGGTACCTGACCCTGTATCAGCCCAGTAACTCGAAGCTTCTTTCTTCCATTGCCACCACCCCCGCTCTTAACCCCCTTCTCCGACCCCCACCCCCCCCCACCCCACCCGGAGCTGTGGTGGGCTATGGCCTTTCCTGTTTTTAACCGTCTTGGGTCGTGCTTCCAAATGGCTGCTCACTGCCCAGCTTGCCTTCACGAGATTCTGGGGCAGCCATGGGGACCCCTAAGGGCCTCTCTGATGATGTTTGACTGCAGAGCGGGGCACTGTACTAGGCACAGGGGTGTGAATGAACCAGACAGACGGCACCTAGAGGGGTTTACATGCTGGCAGGCAAGATGGAGTGAGGAAGAGCACCAGGTCGGACGCTGTTGCGTTCTGTGAGGGAAACAAAAGGAGGTCCTGGGACTTGACAGAGCGTGGCTTGTGGCAGGCAGGAGCCTTTTCTAAGGACAGTGAGCTGAGGCCGGCTGGGTCTAAACAGAAGGAGGGAGGCTTTTGAAATGTGGCCAGGGTTGTTCCCTCAGGGGCATTTGGAACCTGTTTGGATTCCTTTCGTCACAAGAAGCAGTCGGAGAGTGGGGTTTTTGGTGTGTTGGTTTTTATCCCTGTTCTGTGGTAAAACACGTATCACATGCAATTCACCTTTAACCATTTTGAAGTGTAGAATCCAGTGGCGTTAAGTATGGTCACAGTGCTGTGCAGTCATCCCCTCTACCAAGTTCCAGAATGTTACCACCCCCCGCCACCCCCCAGGGGAGATTCAGTATCCAGGAGCAGTCACCTGCACGTGTCCCCCTCCTAGCCCCTGACAACCACTCATCGCTGCATCTTTTTTTTTTTTAAGGCAGTCAAGGATTTTATTTACCCTCTTCAAGCTATGCCTAGATCCCTGTATCCCAGAGCCCTGTTGTTCCAAGGTTGAGTATGCATCACTATTTACCTCTGTCCCACTAGGCCATGCAAACCTGTCTCAGT